TATTCTAGCCATGGGTGAGGCTAGAATAAAGTTTGCAGAAGGGGGACATTCAGCTTTCTTACATTCCTCTCTCTTTCTTTTTCTCTCTGCCTTCTACAGTGAGATGTCTTTTTTCCTCCTGCCCTTGAACATCAGACCCCAGGTTCTTCAGCCTTTGGACTCTAGGACTTGCACCAGCAACCTGCCTCAGACTGGAAGCTATACTGTCAGCTTTCCTGGTCTTGAGGCTTTTGAACTGGGACTGAGCTACACTACCAGCTTTTCTCATTTCCCACCTTGGAGGCAACCTATTTGGGGACTTCACCTTTGTAATCATGTGAGCCAATTCTCCCTAATAAATTCCCTTTCATATACATATGAAAGGGAGTGTATGTGTATGTGTGTGTGTGCATGTGCATGTGTGTATACACATATACTATTCGCTCTCTTCCTCTAGAGAAACCTGATGAATACACATCAAAACCCAGAGGCCAGGGATGAGTAGCAAGAGAAAATAGTGGAATAGGCAGCTTCAAGCTCCTGACTCTTAATTGAAAAGACAAAAACAACCCGAAACTCCCAAAATCAACTTTATTAGAATTTCAGAAAACATTCAGTTTTTCAGCAACCAAGTGAACACTGATACAAGAAAAAAAACACAACTCAAAAACATTAGGAAAGCTTCACGGTGTTTTTACTTACCTTTGCCCACCCTCTCCCCACCTCACCAGCAGTCTTGAAAATGACAGCCTGTATCCCCTGTATCACCCTCTGGTTCCAGAGGGTGCAGAGCAAACCTCATTCACAAAGTATTATGTATGTCTATTCTAATCTGTCTGGACTACCTGAAGGACTGGAACAATGTGCTAATCTTTGTTTCACTTAACACAGATTCTACTCATGGCAAAAAGTGGCAGCCATTGTGTAAGAATATCATAAAACAAAAATTCTGCAGGGCAAAAGATTACTATTGAGACATATAATACACCATCTAAAGTCTCAGAGGAAATGTCAGGGAAAGTTTCTTTGGGAAACTATGGAACTCAAAAGAAACAATATATACTGGGAAATTTAGAAAATCACACATTTATCTAGGGGCAAAATACATGATCAGAAAAGATCAAAAAAGATCCTAACCGTTTACTTTTGACTGACGTCTAGGTTCAGTTTAAGCCTGGTTACGTACTGGAGAACTACACCAGCACAGAGTCAACCTACTAAGATGAAAGAGATTGTTTGGGTGGTTTTTTTTTGTTGTTGTTTCCTTGTTTACTTGTGTTTTGACTTTTTTGTTGTTTGTTAGCTTTTGAAGTTTTTGCTTTGTTTTGTTTTTTTGTATTGTGTTCCAGGAATTCAGTGAAATCTCTCTCAAAACATTAGCTAAACACAGCTAAAGAAACAGAGACTTCAATGACCATATATGTCTAGGAATACAGTCTTTATAAAATTAGTATTCCAAAATCACTAAACAAGTGGATGTCTACTTCAACAATAAAAAAAAGGCTTCAACAATAAAAAAACAGCAACAAACTTTTGGGAAGACAAATAATTTGACTCACAGAATTGTGACTCTATAATATCCAAATGTCTGCGGTTCAACAAAAAAATCACAAAGTATTCAAAGAAATAAGAAAGTATAGTCCATTCAAAAGAACAAAATAAATCAACATCAACAGAAACCATTCCTGAGGAAGACCAGTATTGAACTTAATAAACCAAGGCATTAAATCACTGTCTTAAATATGTTCAAAAGAACTAAAGAAAAATAGGTACAAAGAACTAAAGGCACTCAGGAAAATGATGTATGAAAAAAATGAGAATGTCAATAAATACATTTTTAAATGTTTAGAGAAAAATATTTTAATAGAAAAAAAGGTACCAAACAGAAATTCTAGAGCTAAAGAGTATAATAATTAATAAAGCGGGAAATTTATTAAAGAGGTTCAATGGCATATTTAAGCTAGAAGAAATAATCAGCAAACTTGAAGACACGACAATTGCTATTATCCAGTTTGAGGAGCAGAAAGAAGAAAGAAGAAAAATGAACACAGACTAAGGTACCTGTGGGACACCATCAAGCACTTGAACATACACATAATGGAAACCCCAGAAGGAAGAAATAAAGAGAAATGTGCATAAAAAGTATTTAAGAAATAATGGCCTAAAACTTCCCAAATTTGTTGAAAACATGAATCTACACATCACTGAAGCTCAACGAACTCAAACTGGAGAAACTTAGAGAGATCCACACAAAGGCACATTATAATCAGTCAAAAAACAAAGAGAGAAACTTGAAAGCAGCAAAAGAGAAGCACCTTGTCACATACATGGGATTCTCATAAGATCAACTGTCAGTTTTTTATCAGAAATTATGTAGGCTAAAAGTAGTAAGGTAGTACATTTAATACTTAGAGGAAAAAAATTCTTCAACTAAGAATTTTGTGTTCAACTAAACCATCCTTCAAAAAAACAGGAAGAAATTAAGACATTCTCAGATATATGAAAGTTAAGGGAGTTTGGTACCAGTATCTTCCCTACATGAAATACTAAAAGGAGTCCTTCAGGTTGAAGAGGAAGAACCCTAGACAGAAACTTCAAGTTAATGAGTATATAAAGATCTTAACTAAAGATAACTACATGGACGAATATAAAAATGTTTTATTGTATTTTTGGTTGTTCTAACTCCACCTTTTATTTCATACAAAATTTACAAGACAAAAGAATTAAAATTATAAATCTATTTTCTTGGTTATGCAATAGACAAAGATATACTTTATGACAACAACATGAAAGGGGGGACTGGAGCTATATAGACTAGAGTTTGTGCATGATATTGCAGTTAAATGGGTATCAATACAAACCATAGTGTTATAAATTTAGGATATAAAACATAATCTCCTAGGTAAACACAAAGAAAACAATTTTTATTTTATTTATTCATTTATTTTTAGGATGGGGCCTCATTCTCTCACCAAGTCTGGAGCATAGTGGTGTAATCACAGCTCACTGCAACCTCAAACTCCTGAACTCAAGGGATTTTTGTGCCTCCACCTCCCAAGTAGCTGAGACAGGCATAAGCCACTATACCCAGTTACATTTTTAGATTTTTCTGTAGAGACAGAGTCTCACCACCTTGCTCAGATTGATCTCAGACTCCTGGGCTCAAGTGATCCTCCTACCTCAGCCTCCTAAAAAATGTTGGGATTATGAGCGAGGCACCATGTCCAGCCAGAAAATAGTTTTTTCAGTTCCAAATGAGTTTAATTCTTTACATTTTAGCTAGAACTGGCTGAACAGTATAAGAAAAATGAAATCTCAAACTGGCCTTGAATTAGTTTTATCTCAATACCGGTAGCTTAATAACAGTAGATTCAAAGCAGGCAGAAAAAGAAAGAGAAATAGAGAGCTTTAGAAGACTCTACTTAATTCTATAGTTGTAGATTAACCATCTGAACTCTGAATTTTTCTTGTTGTAATTTGCCCATCAGTTTTAAAATGTGCACAAGAAAGGGTCACAATATGTAACCAGCTGGAGGATTAGAAAACCATGGCTTTGAACTTCTGCAGAAGTTTCTACCCTTTCTCCCTTTCCTGCTCTAATGATTTGTGATTAGCCAGTCTTATTGCAATAACATTTACTATCATTATCATACTTTAATATCTTGGCTTCTTGCAATAGGTATTCAGTCCTTGCCAGTGTTTTCCAAGCATCCCTGTACTCATGTGGTGGCCCACAAAGGTTGTGCAGTTGGGCAAATCCACTTCACATAGACATTGCTGACTGCCCAGGGATTCCCCACCATAGACACCCATTCCTGGCTCGATGTTTGTTCTCTCTGACCCCGTTTGTGATGCTAGTTGTAACAAGAAAAATCCAGAATCATATTTTTAAAAAACCTTCCCCTCAAAGTAGGAGGGAGCCAAGAGACCAAAGAATGACTCAGACAAGTCCAGCTTGGCCAGTGGATAAGTTTATTAGGACTTACATATGAGACACTCCTAGATAGCAGAGAACAGCTTTAGAGACCTGCCTCACTTTGCATCTCTAAGCTGCTTTTAAGCTAATTTTCTGGCTCTTTGCCTACTGTGTGTGCATGATGGGACTGTTTTCCTTAGGTTCTCAGATATTTTCTGTGATGTTTGGGTACTCAAGGACACCTGCTCCGTGGCTGGGCACCATGGCCTTGACTCACCACTTGGCCATCAAGGACACCTGCTCCATTGGCCATTAAGGTTCAAGCAGTGGCCATACACCCTTAAGTAACCCGGTGGGGGACCTGCAACCCTACACCAGTAACAAGGCCTACTTCTCATCATCTGCCACATGTAACTTTGGGAAAATCACTCAGATTCTCTCTGCTTCAGTTCTGCCACCCACACACCAGAAATAATGATACCAGGCCCAGCCCTATCTCTTCTTTCTAAGGTTGTTGTGACATTTGGAATGAGATTATGGGTTTAAGAAACTTTAAAGTGTTAGAGTGATACAAAGTATAATGAATTTTACATCTCAGACTAATCTGATATAAAATCTCTACTAACAAGTCCATAAAGATCTTAGCTCAGTGTCTAGGATTCAGTAAATGCTTAGAGGATATCAGCTATTAGTGTTACCACTCTTTTTCTTGTTAGACTGTGCTCCCAGTTATCCAAGGATGACTTTGGTAGTCTATTATTAGTCTGAATCTTTAAGTATTAGAGGTACTGCCTTCTGAATTGTCACGAGGCCTAATGTCATCTAGACTGTAAACAATTCCCCAACTATCAAGGTAACTGTTCTATGAATGCTTTTCATTTCCATATTTTCTTGGCTCAATGCTGTTGGTCAGGACAACAAACACCAACTTAGTGCTGATGACTGAGTGATGAAATAGTGATCAAAGGGACACATGAAGCTAGTGTAACAAAGATGGGAGGGGCTGGGGAGAGTATAAATAACTATTAGGAAGTTCACAGCAAACCTCAGGACACTTTCTCCGTGAGCTAAGGTAAAGAATATTGTCCCTCACAGCCCTGGTCTCAGAAACTCTGTGGGGAAGATAAGTCCTGAGCCTAGAGCTGCCATTTCCACAGACCATTGAACTACCCTCAAATAGATATGCTTTTAGGGGTACCAGATAGAAGGAGCTGAATCCAGGAGTTTCCTTCCCTGAAATGCGCCAACAGAGGCACAGTCCTCCACCTTCCCTGGAACAGAAGGGCTTTCATCTCTCACTCTGAAGCCATCTCCCTCCCCTGTTTATGCCCAGAGCTGCTTTCCAATCCCATGGAGTGTCCCCGTACCTAACCATAGCCACTGAGTCTACCAGGTGTTCCTGAGGAGACAACTAAGCAACCACTCCACACTCTGCTGATTTTCTTCTACATCTTACAGGGGGAAGAGCTGGATCACCATGAAATTTATCTTCTATTTGGGTGTCCTCACTGGTATGTACTCCAGACCTTGTACTCTGTCCTGTGAGGCATAGGTTAACGGATGGGGTGAGATAGAGGCTGGACTGCGAAGGGTGCAGAAAAAGAGTCAAAAATAGTGTCATCGGCAGAATTAGGGGTCCTGCCTCTTAGACTCCATCCAAAGGCTCTCCAGATAGGCTGAGCCCACTTTTCTAGTGTTAAGCTATAGGGTGGGTTAAGGCACACATGTGCCCCGGAGAAGGCTTAACAGTGAGTGTCCTCCTGCCAACCCTAATTATTGAAAAAGGTGAGCCTCATCACCATCCAGCTAAGTCCCAGTGTGGTCACAAGGACACAGAACTCATTTTGACCTCTGATATTCATCTGTTTCTAAAACTTTGAAGACTCAGAATGCAGGAAACAGAGAAGGTAGAAACAAAAGATCAAATACTAGGGCCCTGCCTTCTGTAGTCCCTGCCCCACGTGGGGTTCTTCTGATGACCAAATTTGGAGGTGAGGCATTTCCCACCACTCTCTGACTGCCTAGGTTGTATCACACATTAGCTGTGTGAGATTAGCCAATTAATTCTTCTGTGCTTCAATTTCTTCAAAATGGGGGTATGACTACCTATATTATAGAATTATTGTGAAGATTAAATAAATCTATGTAAAGCACTTAGAATAGTGCCTGCTAGAGAGAGCTCAATGTCTCTTGCCCTTGTTGATAGTCTACCCTTTCTCTTTGGGGTTCCTAACTGTGTGATCACACAGAAGGGTGTGGTGAGGTACAGGCCCAGGCTTGGGGAAGATTAACAGGAGTACCAAGACAAGACAAGAACAGTGCTTTATTTCTGGTACTAGAATCAGCCTTATTCCCCTTTATTCTCTAGGGTAGGTTTTAAATAATTCATTTATAAAAACAATATACGTTCATATTACAAAATTTAGACATTTTTTAAGTAGAAAAATAAGCATCATTCATAATCCCACCTCTTAGTCAACACATGCTAACACTTCGAGTTTACTCCCAGACTCTATATATTTTTTGCATTTACATGGTTTTTCATTTATGTTTTGAGACAAATAGATTATATCCACAATTTTCTTGTTCTTTTTAACTTAAATAAGCATTATTAATATTTATCTCACTGTTTAATATTCTAAATAGTTTAATTTTTATTACATGATGTTCCACTTTTTCATGTGCTTCATTTCAATGTCCAACACTACTATGTCAGATGTTTATGTTTCCAATGTTCAGCTATTATAAATAGTACTAATATGAGCATACTTGTTTGTAAACCTTGTCTATACTGAGTTTTTCCTTTAGAATGGATTCTTGGGGTTGGAATGATTAGGTCACAGGTTATAAACAATGTATGATTCTTGATGCCTATTTCTAAATTGCTTTTCAAGAAGATGGAATCAATTTACTAGCAGTGATGAGAGTCTCATTATACTCAGATTGAATATTATCAATATTAAACAAAATTATTATAAATATGAGATAAAATGGCGTATCATTTTAATTTACATTCTTATTAGAAAAACATGTCAAAGATGTTAACACTTCCTGGCCAATTGGTAACTGTTTAAGAGTCATCCAGATTCCTTTTCAAGTAGGAGACTGTTTACCTTATTTTTGTAATTTTCTCAGGGACATTTTTATTTGCTGACTCATCTGTTCAGAAAGAAGACCCTGCTCCCTATTTGGTATACCTGAAGTCTCACTTCAACCCCTGTGTGGGCGTCCTCATCAAACCCAGCTGGGTGCTGGCCCCAGCTCACTGCTATTTACCGTTGAGTATTTGGGCATCCCCAACCTCAAAACAGCTACTGTTCATTCTAGATCAGTGGTTCTCAAATAAGGGTGACTTCTCCCCAGGGTACACTTGGCAATGTCTGAAGATAGTTTTGGTTGTCACAACCAGGGGGCACTACATTAAAGAACACGACATTAAAATGTAGTGAAGGGCTCCACTACTTACTATATCACCCTGAGTGAATTACTCCTATGTGCCCCATTAATTCATGCACTAAATGGGGATAAAAATAGAATCCACTGCATAGACTTGTGAGTCAAATGAGATAATCCAGAAAAAGCACTTGGTATAATTCCTGGCACTTTGTAACATTCAGTATCTTAGCAATGATGATGATGATGATGATAATGATTACTTCCAACTCCTCTCCCTCCAGAAATCTGAAAGTGATGCTGGGAAATTTCAAGAGTAGAGTCAGAGATGGTACTGAACAGACAATTAACCCCATTCAGATCGTCCGCTATTGGAACTACAGTGATAGTGCCCCACAGGATGACCTCATGCTCATCAAGCTGGCTAAGCCTGCCATGCTCAATCCCAAAGTCCAGCCCCTTCCCCTTGCTACCACCAATGTCCGGCCAGGCACTGTCTGTCTACTTTCAGGTTTGGACTGGAGCCAAGAAAACAGTGGTAAGTGTGCCTTCCACAGCAAATCAGGGTCAACAGTTGCCCTTTAAGAGGAACATCCATATCCTCATAGCTGAGAGGAGGAAAGGAGAATGAAAGGAGACCCAGTGGAGATGCTACCTGAGTGGTCTGGCAAACAGAGACGTGCCCAGAGAAACAAAACTCCTCCTTTCCCAGGGTGTCTAATGCCCCACTGCCTCTGCAGGGCTTTGGCAGCTGGAGCCACCAGGCCATCTGACTCTGCACAGAGGCCCAGCCCTTCCTGATTGGCAGAGGCACAATTCACATGAAGAAGGTGTGGTCCTACTTCTCATATATGCCATTTCACTTGTAAAGGACCCCTCTGAGAACTGACTCAGGCCACCAATTAAAACTAAACTCTACCTTAAAGAGACATAAAGCCTTTTTCAAAATCCTCAAGATTAGCTCATAACCATGCTCTTGATGATTTCTCCCTTTTCGCATTCCTTATTTTCTTTAAACACACACAAAAAGATACCAGTTGAAATATAGGCTGGTGGTTAGAAGGACTAAATAACAATTGTCAACAGGATGTTTTATTTTATCCCCATCTCCCTCAGGCCGACACCCTGACTTGCGGCAGAACCTGGAGGCCCCTGTGATGTCTGATAAAGAATGCCAGAAAACAGAACAAGGAAAAAGCCACAGGAATTCCTTATGTGTGAAATTTGTGAAAGTATTCAGCCGAATTTTTGGGGTAATCTTTTCTCTGTATTCAGCTTTCATTTACCTGCATATGCCCAGTTAACTATTTACCTTGATGTAAAAACTTTTTTAGATGTCTAAATGATTTCTTGAGAATTTGATAAGGCTGCTGTGAAGCCAGCATTGTTTCTTCAGTAATGGGCTCTCCTTAAATTGTCTTTATTCATTAAAGGACATTATAAAGTACTTCCAGTTAAACACACCATTTGCTAGGTATTCATTCTTACAACTACAAGTAAAATTGTGAAAACAGGCATTTCTTTAAAAAGAAATCAGACTTTTCACAAATAGAAAATGCCTTCACCAGTTCAAAAAATGGAGTCTCACCCATTTTACATGTGATTTCTAGACAGACTGTCCTCTGACTTTCTCAAGGTCACACAAAGCTAATTACAGCAAAGTGAGAGAAAGGCTCAAGCTTCCTGTCCCCGATTCAGTCCTCTTTTCATGAGTCCAGCATACGCCTGCAGACAGGGCTCACCCAAGCGGGACACTAGGGTTCCTGTGAGATCTGACTCTCTCTCTCTGTGTCTCTCTCTCTCTCTCTTTCTCTCTCTATCTCTATCTCTTCACGATCTCTGGTAGGAGGTGGCCGTTGCTACTGTCATCTGCAAAGACAAGCTCCAGGGGATCGAGGTCGGGCACTTCATGGGAGGGGATGTCGGCATCTACACCAATGTTTACAAATATGTATCCTGGATTGAGAACACTGCTAAGGACAAGTGAGACCCTACTTCTCCCTCTGCATTCCACTGGCTCTGCCATGGACTATACAAGCAGATAATTTTCCCTCAGTTGAAAATAAAATCTCCAAATGAAAATTTGGGAATGTAGCATACCAATAGCCAATGTTTTCTTGTTTGTGTCTCTGTATCCTACAATGATGTGAAGAACTAAGATCAAATCATGAAATGAGCATTTACTACACTGTCCTGGATTACATTCATCATCTCATTTAATGCTTATAACAAACCTTTGAGGTTATCTTTTGTTCCAGCTTTACAAATGAGAAAATGCAGGCTAAAAGAGGTTATTTAACATTGCCCATAGCTGGTGGATACCAGAGCCTGAAATGGAACCCAAAATTGTCAGATTCTAAATCCCTTGCTATCAGCCTCAGTGTTACATGGGAGTCTACAGCATCACAAAAGATGTTGGCTCCTATTCATTTGCCTCCCTCTCTTTCCACTCAAAGGACTTGAAGCTCTCACTTGTGGCTAAGATCTTGGGTACTGGGATAAGCTCTCCTAAAAAAAGTCATACCTCATCTCAGTGCGACATAGATTGCAGTATGTTCAGAGAGAGAGTGAGTTAGTGGAAGAGTAGAAAGTGAAAAACAAAACTTCAGAACAAGGCAACAATCATAAATCAAGTCCACAAGCGAGTTTGGCAGCTCCAGTGAAAGGTGAAGATGTCATATAAATCCAAAGAAGATACAGGCAGCAACAGAGCTTGAAAGGCAGAGATGGCTGAGATGAGGTGAAGGGCAGAAACTGGGCTTAGCCACAGACCATGGTCCTAAAATAGTCAGTCCTATGCTTGAGAAATTGGTAAAGCACTACTACAGACTGAGTGTTTGTGTCCCCCCAAAATTCGTAAGTTGAAACCTAATCCCCAAAGTGATGGTATTTGGAGGTGAGGCCTTCAGGAAGTGATGAGTTCATGAAGGCAGAACCCTCACAAATGGGATTCATGCCCTCATAAAAGAGAGCCCAGAGAGCTCACCTCCTCCTTTTGCCATGTGAGGTTACAGCGAGAGACAGCAGTCTATGAACCAGGAAGTGAATTTCACCTTACACCAAATCTGCTATTGCCTGGATCCTGAATTTCCCAGACTCCGGAACTGTGAGAAATAAATTGTTGTTTATAAGCCTCACACAGTCCACAGCATTCTGTTATAGGTGATGGAGTAATTCCAGATATCCAAAAGATTGGGACATGTAGGACAAGAATGGGTAAAGTAACCTTCGAGCAGGTGAAGAGTCAAGAAAAAACTGCACATTCTCCTTGGGTAATATTTTCTACTCTTATGGTTTAAAATACAATTTATACTTTAATGAGTTTTGTAGTAGGCAGAATAATGGCCCTGCAAAGATGTCCACACTCTAATCTCATGAATATAATATAATATAATCAGATGTGATTCTGGTTATGAACATCGAAATTGGGAGATTATCCTAGATTATCTGGTGAGTCAAATGTCACCACATAGGCCTTAAAAGTGAAAACGGCCGGGCACGGTGGCTCACAACTGTAATCCCAGCACTTTGGGAAGCCGAGGCAGGCGGATCACGAGGTCAGAAGATTGAGACCGTTCTGGCTAACGCAGTGACTTCGTCTCTACTAAAAATGCAAAAACAAAATTAGCCAGGCGTGGTGGCGGGTGCCTATAGTGCCAGCTACTTGGGAGGCTGAGGCGGGAGAATGGCGTGAACTCGGGAGGCAGAGCTTGCAGTGAGCCGAGATCGCACCCCTGCACTTCAGCCTGGGCAACAGAGCGAGATTCTGTCTCAAAAACAAAAAACAAACAAAAAAAGTGCAAAAGGAAGGCAGAAGATTTTGTTGGGGAGATGCAATAACAGAACAAGAGGCAGGAGAGATTCAAAGCATGAGAAGAAACTGACCAGCTATTGAAGGCTTTGAAAACAGAAAAAATAAAAAGGGAACCACAAGGCACAGAATGTGAGCAGTGCCTAGAAGCTGGGAAGGGCTCTTACCTGACAACTGGCAGGGAAATGGGGATTTTAGTTTTAGAATCACAGCTGTACTGAATTCTGCAACCAATCTGAATGAGCAAGGAAACAGACTCTCTCCAGAAAGGGGCGTAACTCTGTTGACACCTTGATTTTAGTCCAGTAAAATCTTCGAAACTTCTGACCTAGAGTACTGTAACATAATAAATTTGTGTGCTGTATTTATGCAGCATATCAATAGCAAAGATGAATCAACCAAAATCATGACAGATGATAAAAAATGGCAATAACATGAATACATGCACAAAAAAGATGAGAGTCTTGTAGACTGATCAGCTGAATCATATCTAGCAAATACAAAACAGAAAAAAAACGATTCTACATAGTGGAACGAACATGAGATAGGATCAGAAGGAAATCACACAGGCTATCAGGAGGGAGAGATGCATGGATATATATGAAAGACAGTTGATGTCACACAAATGAAAGTATACATATGTAAAAATGACGTATGACATACCTAAATTAAAATAATAAAAAAAAAAATAAAATAAAATAAATAAATAAATAAATAAATAAATAAATAAATAAATTTGTGTTGCTTTAGACTACCTGTAGTAATTTGTTATGGCAGCCATAGAAAACAAACTTTTAAATCCACATATCCAAAAATAGCTATTAGTACTTTTTATAGTGCAATGTTAAAACCTTCAATGGCTCCCAGCTTTCCTGAAAATAAATTCTAAATTCTAAATTCTAGGCTTAGAATGGTAAACTTAGAACTCTAAACTTAGAATGGTATCTAAGCTTTCTTGAGACTTCCCATACACCTCTTCCCATTACCCCCCCAAAAAAAAGGTATTTTTCAGTACATAGCCTGCCAGTTGGCATTGTTTTCTGACCCTGTGAAATGCAAATTTGGGTACAAAAGAATGTCAGAGAAAAATAAAAGGAAGAGCCCAATACCCTCCCTTTAAGTTGATAACCTTGTCAAGACCCAAATGTAACAAAGCTAGATCCATTTAAAAAGCAACACAGGCTAGGCACAGTGGCACACACCTCTAATCCCAGCAATTTGGGAGGTGGAGGCAGGCGGATTACTTGAGCTCAGGAGTTTGAGAGCAGCCTGGACAACATGGCAAAACCCTGTCTCTACAAAAAAAAAAAAAAAGTAAAAATGGTGGTGTGTGCCTGTGGTCCCAGCTACTCAGGAGGCTGAGGTGGGCAGATCACCTGATCCCAGGAGGTCAAGGCTGCAGTGAGCCGTGATCACGCCACTCTATTCCAGCCTGGGTGACAGAGTGAGACCCTGCCTCAAAAACAACAACAACAACGACCAACTTTTTTGAGCTGAAATTAAATTTTCAAGCATTGAAATCATGTCCCAGGCAATGGGAAATATTTTCTCTTTTCCCAATTGCCTATAACTTAGGCAAAGGCAAATCATACCGATTACTATTCAATTAACTCCTCTATTTTGTTTTCTTTTCCCAGTTAGAGTGCTGTTCTCCAGGCACAGTCACCAACAACATCGGCTTCAAAGCTGAATCATCAAAAGGATACTTTGCCTGACTGTGGGGGCTACTCCCCTAAGATCTCTTGCCCTCTACTCCTCCCTCCGCTCCTGGCTCTTACATCTGAGGTTGTACTGTGCTCAAGCCTTCAGGGAGGTGTCAGCTGATTTTCACTGATGTTATTTCACTGATCTCAATCCCCAACCTCCCAAAGGGCTTGAGATTGTATTCCAGCTTTGACAGAGAGGCAAGTTTACTCCAAAAAAAAAAAAAAAAAAAAAATTTACACAGGGCCCAGTAAGGTTTCCTTGTTTTCTTAGAATAGTTCCTCATTTTAGAGAGTTCTCCTTGTTTTCTTAGAATAGTTCCTCATCTTAGAGAGAACCTCAGGGTCATATTGCTGATACATTGGAGTCTGAGATTATCATGACAAAATCTGCCTCGCTCATTTGTATGAAGTTAATGGAGGTGGGGGGAAGGGGAAAATGGAGTTAGTTCATGGGTACAAAAATATAGTTAGAATGAATAAGATCTAGTATTTGATAGCATAACAGGATAGCATTATAGTTAATAATTTATTGTACATTTTAAAATAACTAAAATAGTATAATCGAAATGTTTGCTATACAAAGAAAGGATAAATGCCTGACATGATGGATACCCCATTTATGCTGGTGTAATTATTATGCATTGTATGCCTATATCAAAATATTTCATGTAACCATAACTATATACATCTACTATCTACCCATAAAAACTTAAAATTTAAAATGTTTTAAAAGACAATACAGGAAGATAAGCTACCATTTTTTTAATATCTACTATATATCAGGCACTGTGTTAGACATTTTGACATGCATTATACTCTTCAAAAGTAGTTATATTCCCTGCTTACTTGAGGTTTCTGAAGAAAAGCAAGTTAGTAACTTGCCCAAGTTAGTAAATGGCATCTTAAGTCAGGGACTGTATGTGTTCTGAAGATGATTAAATTATACCAAATCTATATTGCAAATATTAGTTGCTAAAACTAAGCAGGATAGAAATCTATTTCCTTTGATTATATGATTTTTAGAAATATAAAAATGGCAGAGCTGTGATTCTAACCTTTGTGTGACTGACTCCAAAGCCTGTGCCACTTCCCTTACATCTTTCCATGGCTACGTTTCTAGATATGCAAGTGTTTCCTGAATACTTTCACTTATGCCTTTCTTCAGGTAAGGTTAAATGCACCTATTTAGATAACACAAGAAGTCTGACGGTTTCTCACATGCTTTTAGATTTTAGCCCCTAGTGAAAAATTATTTGAGGTCTATATAGAGTGAATCTTCCATTCTTATTTAAATGTAAAGTTTCCCTGGAAACCACTCCGTAATATTCCAGTTCTATATTGCAGAAAGTGATAGACTTAAGCTCAATGTAGGTATAAATGAGAGTGATTGCATTATGATACCAACTGGTGATGGCCAAGATCATTTCAACATATATATTTTGGTAAATAACCTTGAATGAAGAACAAAAGTCAAAACAAAAATTTTGAAACCTGATAAGGTAATCATCATATTTTGGGTTAACAAATCTATTCTTCCTTTTCAAAGATTTTCAAGTTTGTTAATAGCCTGGACTTTATCCAATGA